ATGCGTTTAGGTGGAGACGTCCAGCAAGAGGGCGTCTCCCCGAACGCTACATTTTTGTCTTTGTTATTGTTGTTGTTGTCGTCAGTGTCTTTTAGTAAATTATGAATTTTTCGGCCACCATACTTTTGTCTAAATCTTTGGTTTTCACCAAATTGTGCCCTTTTCCAGCCACCATACTTTTGCTAGATTCATCTTTTTATCTATTTCATTGTCGTCTATGTTTTCATCTGGTTTATTTTCAAATTACTTATCGGAAGGGTCTTTCTTCTTTTTTTTCCCGAAATGATTTGTTTCTAGTCATTTTTTCCTTCTTAAAATAAACATTTTTCCAAATAAAAAACGAAAAGGAAACACAAATTAAATATTCAGAAAGACAAAATTTAGACTGATAACAAGTAAACACTTTAAATAAGTAAATCACAATTTCCCTTAAACTGAAGTAAGGAAATATACACAAAAAATGGTTAGACGTACGAAAATTAAAAAGAAAAATTACACACATGAAGACTGTCAAGAAAGAAAGTTAGATGTTTAAAACAAAAAACGTATAGGTCTCTTTTTTTTACAACAATGCAACAGTAAAAAAAATAAAACAAAATCCTACAAAAAGAAATACGTAAAAAAAAAAATGGGTCTTTCAAATACAAGATGGCCGACGTTACACAAAAACAAGTCTTGGCAAAAATAAAATGACCGACTAAAACAAGCGTAACACAAAAGTTTTACCAAAAGAGACCGAAAATAGAATTTAGAAAAACAGAGAGATTAGACAAAATAAACAAGAAAAGTGAAATTAGAAAAAATAAAAAAAGCACAGAAAATTTAACCAATAAAAATACAGAAGATTTAACAGATATTTAACGCGACAACAAAACGAAAAAAAAAGAACGAAGTGACACGTAGAAATAATAAATAAACAAAGAAAATAAAGTCTGGCGGGGATTACAGAAAATTAAACGGAAAAATATCGATTCAAAAATAACTTTTAAAAAATAAAACAAAAAACATAATAGTAAAAGAATAGATGCAAAAACAGATAAAATAAAAATTGGGGAGGGTGAAAAAGCTGAAAAAGAAAAAAATCAAATGTTGGCGAAAAACAGTAATAAACGTAAAAAAAAAAGTAAATTACATTAACTTAACGTAAAAGAAGTGTAGTAAACTAAAAAAAAAAACAGTTTACGGTGAGTGGTGTCAACCACCGGTCGTAAATGGTCTGTAAAAAAACGAACTCACACCGCATTGGGGACGCTGGTTCGATCCCTCTTGTGGACCACATTTTTTTCTTTTCTAAGATTTCTAGACTGCGCAAGGCGATAAACGTTGTACACATTGTTTAATAAGTAAAAATGTAGTGTCTATTTCAAATGCGGATTATTCACTATAATAACGATTGAAGTGATAAAAATGTCGGATTAAAAAAAAACAATTCTTTAGAAATAGTGATATATATATATAAAGACATTTTTATGTTTATACATTCTTTTTATAGATACAACTATTTAAGTAAATGCTCTGTTCATAATAAACAGTACTAACAACATTTACCGACCTAAATATCCGAGAAATTGTCATAGAAAACATGCATCCTGCGACAGGAATCGAACCTGTATCTTATATAGAACTGTCATATAGCCTGACGTGCTTTTACGATTTCGCCACAGATGAGCGTATCGGTTAGCAAGGTCGATTTTACTGTTTTTAAACTACAATTTTCGGTAAAAGCACGTCAGGCTATATGACGGTTCCATATAGGATACAGGTTCGATTCCTGTCGGAGGACGTATATTTACTATGACAATTTCTCGGACATTCTGGCCGATAAATGTTGTTAATATTACATGAATTTAACGGTGCTTCTAAGTTACATATAGGCCCCACCCTTTTACTGTTGAAATAGTTAAATGTAACTGCCACTTCTACTCCAACATTTTCTTTTCTCACACTTCTCGCCTGTGCAATTCCATTCCGTTTACTTGCTTCCCTGACGACAATCTTCAAAAATTTAAATACAACTTCAATCGCTTTCTTCTGGTGTCTTGAACCCGTTTCATCTTATATCCTTTCTTCATTCCCCCCATACACAGTTTTTTCTCTCATCTTCACTCGATGTAACCCCCTGGGAACATATGGCACGCCCGCCTTGCTTGGGGTTAAATGTTTTAAAGAAATGTATACATAACTACTACTAGTGAATTTGATTTTCACTTACATCACCATCTTGTATTCTAAAAATCGTAACTGTTACTTGGCTGAAAATTAATGCAATCGAAACTGACTTGGCATCTCGACTTCTCCCAGTCACTTTCTTACAGACGTGACGTGGCTTCCCTCTGTCTTTTCTACAAATATTTTCATGGCAGCTGCTCTAATGAGCTTTTTCCCCTGGTGCTCGAACTACTTGAATTTAAGCGTGCTACTAAGTTGGCATCTAGGTCCTATCCTTTTACTGTTGAAATAGTCAAATACAACCGTCACTTCTACTCCTTAGTTTCTTTTCTCGCATTTCTCTTCTGTTTACTGTCCTGGGTAAGACGATAAACAACATCCAACAGCAAGGCTTCTGATCAGGAGGCTTTGAGGAGCGTGGAACTACCTCTTAATTGCTAGTGTTCCCAGTTCCTGACCCGAGGTGTTAGCACCTGTTAGGGTCCCAGCTATGGGCAAATATTTAACCCCCAAACTAGAGTCAAAACACCATGGAAATGTAAAAATAGGTTTTAATACCAGCAATACTTTTTTGTAAAAAAAATTACCAGCAGTAAATCTTTGAAGAAAAAATTATTACCAGCAATATATTTTTAGAAAACATATTAACAGCAATACATTTTTGAAAAAAAATATGTTCAATCAGTTATGTGCTATGCGTAATACACGCTAAGGCGATCATGTATCTTTCGATACATGACTGACGAGGCAGATTTTTCCCGCAGTAGGTTGCCATTTCTTTCTGCGGTAGACCAGTTGCCATACAAAGCTGTAGAACCCTGTCAGTCCTGCTATGTACCCATAACTGGGGTAGAAGAAGAGGGTTCATACCTTTCCCAAGGGTATTAGTACGTAATTGAATGTAATGGATTCGAATGGAATTCGAACTCGGCTCTCTGATTCCTCAATCCAAGCCGCTATCTGTTACTTCAAATATGACCAGCAATAAAAATCTTGTTGACATTAAATAACCCCATAACGCCATATTTATTACAACGTTTCAGCAGTTGTACGCTCCGGCCTTCTTCAGGTGGATGGAATGTCGAACTGAACCCTTTATTTCGCTCACTCGGGTAGACTGTTCTAGTTCCACGTGCCATGTCTAATGGATGTCAGTTATCCTGTTAATTCCCCTCACCAAGTTATCCACCGCCTTAACCGGGTATTGAACTCACACGCTTTGGGCCCTGTCACTGGATCTAACTAACGCCTTTATCCACTGTGTCATGTGTCCTCAAAAGTCCGAATAATGTAAATAATGTACATAATACCTCATCTCAGAAATATAGACAGATATTAAATAATCCATTGAGGTTGATAAAACAAACCAAACTCTTCTGTTTATTTGCTTACATAATAACTAAAATCTTCAAAAAATTAAATGCAACGCCAGTCGTTATCTTCTATTTTCTTGAATCCCATTCATCTTTTGTCCTTTTCTCAATCCCCACCTTTACTCAGTCTTTAATCCCGTGTGTCCTAGTGACTTTATTGCCTTACTTGGGGTGAAATGATTAAAGAATAAAAATTAAATAAAAAAAAGTCCTTGCATACAAATAATTAATTTCCTTTGTGAAGTACTCGTTATATATATACATTACCGGCCTGAATGTCCGAGAAATTTTCACAGAAAAATTTCGTCCTTCGGTAGGATTCGAACCTGCATCCTATACAGAACCGTCAAATAACCTGACCGCTCGGCCACAACGGATCGTTCAATTGGTAAGGTCGAATTTACTGCTTATAAACTTCAATTTTCCATGAATCTCTCACGTACATTCATAACTGCTCATGGCGTATCAAATGTAAACAAATGACGTCACACTTCGTCGGACTTTGTCCATTTCATAATGTGTCACGTCATTTGTTTACATTTGATACGCCATGAGCAGTTTTAAATGTACGTGAGAGATTCATGGAAAATTGAAGTTTATAAGCAGTAAATTCGACCTTACCGACCGAACGATCCGTTGTGGCCGAGCGGTAAGGCACGTCAGTTTGCATGACGGTTCCGTATAGAATACAGGTGCGAATCCTGTCGAAGGAGGAATATTTTCTATGAAAATTTCTCGGACATTCAGGCAGGTAAATGTTATTTAATACTGTTTATTATAAACAGAACAATTACTTAAATGCTTGTATCTATAAAAAGAATGTTAAACATAAAAATGTCTTTAAATAATTGTCGGACTTTGTCCCTTTTATATATATATCTACTATGTAACAGAATTCTTTTATAGGAAAACCTTTATTGACCTCCTTGTGTTTGTCAAGTTAAAGATATCAAGTGAATTTCAGCGTAAAATGTCTGTTTTATTAGAAATATCTACAGTAATGTTTTTGGTGATGTATCAGTTATGATGCAACGATACGTCATCTTGTAACAATATAAAGATATAATAGTTTAGTTATTGATAGTCAATTTTTAAGTTCAGATCAATAAAGATTGTCATTAAGAAAGATATGACATCAAAAGAGGGACAAGATAAGATGGAATTACTTTGGTGGAGAAACAACATTGGAAAATTTTGAAAAGGTTGAACACAGATCACAGAAAAATCAAAAAAGAAAATAAAAACATTGGCAAGATAAGAACAAAAAAAAATGGCTGTAAGAATGTCACAAAAAAGAGATCTGAGAAAGATTACATTAATAAACAAGAAAAATGGACTGGTCATCAAGAAAAATGTCTGAACAAGTAGATGTTGTTAAAATAAAACAAAAGAAAGAGAAAAGATGACGAATATTGGAAATTGATTAAAAACAAGAAAGTAACCAAGCCTACGTGACCTTACGACCACATCACGTTGAAACACCTGTTCCCATATAATCACCGAAGTTAAGTAACGTTGAACCTGGTCAGTACCTAGATGGGTAACCGCTTCGGGATATCAGATGCTGTAGGCTTGAATGAGACTCAGAATTGTTAATCGGAGAGCCGAGTTCGAATTCCCGATTGGTTCGTTATATTCACCTGTGCGCAAATACCATTGAGAAATGTATGAATCAACCTCTTCTTCCCCCAGCTATGGGTTAAATAGTAAGACTTGTAGCACTAAACCATTATTTTCTAAAAATAAAATTAACTGCGTACACAATATTTAGATTTGGTCATTAAAGGTTAATATGGCACAAAATAAAAGCAACAAACCGACCTTTTTTATTGCCATATTCACGACGTTTCGGCCGTTGGACGCTCTGCCCATCTTCAGGTGATATACGTTGGAATTTCGAACCAAACTCTTTATTTAATCCACAGGGATATATTGTTCTAATTCCACGTGTCATGCCTCTTCCAGATATCTCAGTTTCAGTTATTTCTCTTTAGTAACTCAACTCTCCGAATTTTTGTTCCCTCTACTGTGGCCAGGTATTGAACTCACAACTCTTCGGATCATTCCTTCACTTAACGCTTGTATCCACTGGGCCAGTTGTAAATTAGGTGACGAAATATATGAAAACAGATTTCTCAAGAGTAATTTTTTAGTAATGGATGTAAAGCTACGTTCGACGAGCTGATGCCCAGGCAAAGCATTGGATACTTAAAGATGTGATAATAGATGTACAATAATAATACGCCAATTATACAACTCAACGTTTATAAAGGGTTGGTGCTACGTCGCGTGCGCTGAAATAAAAATGGGAGACAGTTTTTGAACAAAAAGAAACACAACCTCTTTTTTTTTAACTATATCACCCCAAGCAAGCGGGGGTGCCACTAACACGCAAGGGGTTACAGAGAGTGTGACCAAGAGTAAAAAGGAGTGTTTGAGGAAAGGATAAAGAGAAGATCGGAGATCAAGATTAAGGCATCAAAAGATGTCGTTTGACATTACATTTGAATATTTGAAGATTATAGCTATCAGGGAAGCAAGTAAGATGATTGGAGATCCGTTGTTAGGAAGTGAAAAAGAAGCTGTTGGAGTAGAAGAGATGGCTACATGTAACCGTTCCAACAGCGAAAGGGTGAGACCAAGATGCCAACCTAGTAGCACACTTAAATTCATGCATTTGTGGTACCACTGAATGTAGCTCGTCAGAGCAGTTGCCACGGAAATATCTGTAGAAAAGACAGAGGGAAGCCAAAGCAAGTCTATGAGAAAGTGACTGTAGACGAGATGCCAGATCAGGACCTATCATATTATATTTAATATCCAACTAGAAAATGAGAAATAAAGAAAAAAGAATAGTTTGCTGACAATGTGCGTCTGCAGACTTAGGTGAAAAAGCGACCGGAGATCTTGTCAACAGCCTTTGTTGAATTAGAGGTCCCTTTCAGTCTCCAGCTAGTTTCTTTAAATATTATTAATTTCCCTTACGTTTGTTGGCTCTGTTCTGACGTACCTTGATGCCACTGTCCGGGGTTATTAGTGAAGATAGCATCGTTGCTTTGTGCTACCTGAGCTACCTGAGTAATAAGTTCTTTCTTTAATCATTTCACCCCAAGCAAGGCAATAAAGCGATTAATACACAAGGGGGTTATTGAATATGAAAGAGTTAGAAAATGAAAACATTATTAAAGAATGAGAACAATAAAAGAAGAGGAATCAAGAAAAGATTTTATAACGATTGATGTTACATTTAAGTGTTTAAAGATCAAAGTTGCTGGAAAGCAAGAAGCCGGGAAAGAATTCTCACAGGCGAGAAGTGCGAGAAAAGATAATGTTACATCTTTCCGATTCAACTGTAAAACGATGCGACCATGTTGCCAATCTAGTCTAGGTACCATAGAACAAAGCTCATCAGAAGAATTATCAATAAAGTATTTATAGAAAAGGCACAGGAGGCTACATTGTGGCGGTGGAAAATGAGTGAAGGTGAGAAGCCAGGTCAGGACCAATAACATTGCAGATTCTTCGGATTTTGTAAAGAATCTCTAAATATAAAACAGGAGCACCGTACCATATGTGGTAGCAATATTCAAAGCAAGGACGAATGGTAGAGTTAATAAATATGTAAGATAGTTTCCTGAGAGAAAACTGTGAACCCTTACCTAGCTGCTGACCTAGCAATTGATTAAATATAATTTTTTGCAATTCATGTCAGCTGAAAATGTTAGTCCGAGAACGCACAATGAGTCACTCTCCTGGTGGGTAGCATCAGCCATGCTGATGGAAGATAAAAATGTTTTTCTCTAAAACGATTAAAACAGAGTTTCGTTTTGAAGGCGTTAAAATTGGTAAATCATTCCTTGCCCCAGTTAGCAACAGATTTTAGGCCATTTTTTTTAGCTCAGCTGCCAATTCGACCCTATTAAGACAGGAGTGTCAGCTGTGTAGTCGGCACAGATGCCAAGTTGAGAAATGATGACAGGACTTCGAAAGGAACGGTGGTAAAATGGTGTAATGCTTTGAACTTGTCTGCTACTGATGGTACCATAAATGCAAAGAATTTCTGAAAGGTTTTGGGACAAGACATTCTTTGAGTGATATATGTCACAAATAAGAAGCTTTAAGCTAATGAATTCATTCAAAACAATGCTCTTTCACATTCTGCAAAACTATGATCAATCTCATCAAAGACGTTTTCATATATACATTAATTATATTTTAATCGAATTCGCCCCAAACAAGGCAATAAAGTCACTGAGAAACAAGGGTTTACTGGGTGTGGAAAATATTAGAAAACAGAAATTTACTGAGGAGTGAGAACAAAAGATGAGTAATCGGGAGATAGCGATTGACATTGCATTTAAATATTTGAAGCTTAATATTGGCTGGAAAGCATGGAGACAGAAGGGAGTTCCACAAGCAAGGCACTAAAACCACTATGACACAAGGGGTTACTGGGTTTGGAAGAATTAGAAACAGAAACATTACTAAAGGGGAAGAACAAAAGATCAATCAAAAGGCAAGAAGATAGCGATTGACATTGCATTTACGTATCTGAAGATAAATGTTGGCTGGAAACCATGGAGACGGAAGGGTTTTCCACAAACAAGTCCGTAAAGTCCCTAACACACAAGGGCTTACTGGGATTGGAAGAATTAAAAATAGTAACATTACTAAAAAGCAAGACAAAAAAAGAGAAATCAGGTGGACAGTAGGTAGCGATTGACATTGCATTTAAATACTTGAAGATTAAAGTTGGCTGGAAAGCATGGAACTGGAAGAGAATTTCGCAAGCAAGAAGTGTGAGAAAAGAAACTGTTAGCATAAAACTTACGCTTACATTCTAGCCAGTTCCACTGTAAATTAGTGAGACCTTTTAGCCAATCAAGTACTGCGCTTAAATTCATAGAATCTAGGTACTATAGTGAATAGCTCATCCGAATACTTGCCACGAATGTATTTATAGAAAAGCACAGGGTGGCAACTTGAAAGTGACTTAAACCGAGAGGTCAGATCAGGACCAATATTATTGCTGATTCTTTCTGTGTTTTATAAAGAATCACTATATATAAAGCAGGAACACTGGACTGTATGTGACATCAAGCATGGATGAATAGTAGACTTATAAGTATATAAGATAGATTGAGAAGAGAAACATTGTCTAGCACAACAAAGTGAAACAATTTTCTTAGCAGCAAACCTAGCAATGGATTCAATAGAGACTTTCCACTTTATGTTAGCCGAGAACGTTAGCTTGAGAAGGCGCAATGAGTCACTCTCCTGGAGGTTAGCATCAGCCATAATTATAGAATCTGGAAAGGTGTCCTTCAGGTGATTAATTGAGAGAAGTTTAATTTTGGAGACGTTGAAATTAACAGGAAATGCTTTGTCCCAATTAAAAACAGACTAAATATCGTTTTAGACATCAGCCAACAATTTAACCATATCGAACTGATCAGAGTTAATGTCGAGACAGGAGTAAATGATTGTGTCATCAGCATAGATATCAATTTGAGGGCTGATGACATCAGAAAATAAAAACAAAGTAGGACCAAAGATAGATCCTTGGGAGACATCGGCATTAGTACAAAAGGATGTAGAGGAGTGGCCGTTCAGGATGGCATTCATTTGACGATTTCATAAAAAAGACTGAATCAGTTCAAACATTTGGACGGAGAAACAATAACTTTCCAATTTCTACGCAAAATGAAAAATTATTGTGTCTCCGGTCAAATTTTTGAATTTTATCCTGTATGCCAAAACCTGTCGAAAGTTTGCGAGATGTCTAAAGCAACAGCCCAAGCTTCAACATTCTTAAAGACACTTTCAGCAACCCACGAGAGCAATATTAGTTGTTTGTAAGAACCATGCGATGTGAGATACTTAACCAATTCAGCATTGATTATGGACTCTAGCAATTTCCCCCAAAGAGGTAGATGGCTTAATATATATATATATATATATATATATATATATATATATATATGAAAAATATAGTTTTACGGTATGCTATATTTATGGGATAAAGTGCTCAATATCAGACACAGAGCGTATGTAAATATAAAAGAGAACATTGAAGTCAACATTCAGAAGTGACAGACTGTTTCATACTAGACGCAATCAACTGATGGTTGCGTCATGCATGAAGCAGTCTGTGTAGCATGAAACAGTCTGTCTTCAATGTTCACTTTTATATTTATATATATATGTGTGTGTGTGAGAGAGAGAGAGATAGAGAGAGAGAAAGAGAAGAAGAAGAAGAAGAAGAAGAAGAAGAAGAAGAAGAAGATCTATAGTAAGAATTAAAACAACAAACTACAAGTAACGTTAGACGTTTCAAACTAATGCCTTCCGGCCTTCATCCGATGAACATTGGTGGCTCTAACTTTTTAAAAATAAAGATTTTTTTAAATACAAAAATAATCCATATATTTCTCTCCTGTTAACATAAGGGCGCACCTGGCTACCTTTCACAGCGCATTAGTGCCCCTGGGCGTACCGATTCTCAAGTCTATTGTTCCGTAGAACAACCCTGAAGCTAGAATTGGAACATTAACATGTTCTTATTGCCACT